TTATTTTTTTTTCTTTTTTTAAATAACAATTTTTTTTATGTTTTTTATTTTTATTGTTTTTATTTTAAATATCCGTTTTTCTTATACAAACCTTTAACCATCAAATTTTAGCCATCGTAAATTAAACGTACAATATATTTTAAGGTGCAAAAACTACATAATACATATTGTCGTAATCATAATACATAAATGTAAGAATTACAAATTTTCATATATAAACCTTTAACCCTCTGGTATTTTCTAGAAGTTTGGCCAATTTTCAAAATTCATCTGGTCTTTTGCCAAACAACTTTTTACCAAATCTAGAGAATAAACACGAGGATATTTGTTTTTGATATGCGCTACATTAAAAACACGTATAAAATATCACAATTTTAAAACTAAAACTCTCCTAACTTTGTTATATATATATATATATATATATATATATATATATATATATATATATATATATATTGCAAATTTAAATGAATGGATGCTCGAAAGTAGTCTAACTTGATAAAAAAATCACATATTGAAAAATCTAGAAATATATATACTTTTAATATATGCGTGTCACATACTAAATAAAAGGTGATCAAAGAAAACTAAATAAAAGGTGATCAAAGAAAACACCATAAGATAAAATTGTAAAGAAAAAAGATAATATTTTTTTATGATATTATTGTAGCTATTCTTTTCTTCTTTTTTATTATTTTTATTTTTTTTAACGTTTAATGATTTGGTATCGATTAAAGTTCAAGTTAATTGTGATGTTTTTTTTGTGACAAATAATGCTTGAGTTTTTTTTAATTGTGGTGTTATTTTTTTTAACAAACAATAAGTTTTTTTATATTTTTTATTTTTTTTACCTTAAAAAACATTGTATGTGTAATGTTGGAGTTTTTGCATCTTAAAATATATTGTACGTTTAATTTACAATGACTAAAATTTGATGGTTAAAATAAAAATAATAAAAATAAAAACATAAAAAAATTGTTATTTAAAAAAAGAAAAAAAATAAAATAAAAACTATTATTTAAAAAAAATAACAAAATAGTAAAAATGTAAAATAAAAGAGAAAAAGAAAAAATTTGGATATTTAAAATAAAAAACCATTAGGAAAGGCTGAAAAATAAAGAAAAATAAAAATAATACTAATATTGTAAATATTTTCAAGAGTACACCAAAATGATAAATATTTTCTTCACTCACCCTATTATGGTTAAAAACTCATGTAATCCAATGCTAATCTTGTTCCCAACTATATATACATAAGTTATATTGACGTCTAGACGACAGGTTTACATAAAAACCATCATTGAAATTCAATGGTAACAAAATCATACAAAATGTGAAATAGAACAAACTTCTATTATGGTATTTACTAATTATGATAAAAGATTTTATCCCAAAAGTTCTTTAACAAAATCTAACATAATAACTAAAAATCATTTTTGCTTTGTCATTTTCTCATGTATTATGCCACATGTCTTTTTGTGATAATTTTAGATTAAATTATATCCATATGTCTTTTTGTGGTTTATTTTCATTTTATTAAATTCAATATAATATTTAAATGTAATAAATCTATTCTACAAAATAAAGATTTTTTGCCACATGTCATATTTTCATTCATTTTGCCTCATGTCATTTTGTGGTTATTATAAATTAATTTTTATTCCACATGTTATTTTATGATTTTTTTCTATTTTATTAAAGAGATTTTTTTAATATGTGCCCTAAAGGATATATAAGAACTATTAATTATGACAATATTATCATAATTAAATACAAAATGCATTAATTATAAAGAATATTACCATAATTAAATATAAAATTTATTAATAATCTCAAAAATAATAAATGTATTTTGCATTTCACATATTAGAAAATCCTTTTATTAAATTCCATATAGTATTTAAATATAATAATAAATGCATATCAGTTTCATTAATATATTTTCCTTTTAATTTCATAACTACTAAATTAAAACCTCTTTAGTTTTCTTTGTTTATTTATCAAAATTATTTGTTTAAATTTAATAGGGAAAAAACACTTTGAGTTTAATAATTCAATATTTTTCTCAATTTTCTTATAAATTCAAATTTCTCAAATGTTTAGAATTTTATATTATAATTTTTCTTTTAAACAAACCCATGTAATAATAGGTCTCATACCTAGTGTAATATATATATATATATATATATATATATATATATATATATATATCTATATATATATATATATATATCAAATTCATTAATTTAACTTTCCTTATAGTTTTTAAATTTCTAAATTTAATCAAATTATTTTAATTATTTATTTATTTAAATTTAAAAAAGAAATGAACACTTCAATTTTAAATAGTTAAATATTTTTCTCTTTTTTCTTATAAATTCAAATTTTCTAAATTTTTAGATTTTCATATTTATTTTTATTTTTTTAAATAATCTCATGTAGTACATAAGTTTCACAACTAATAAAATTTATACAGATATTCGTAAATATCATTCATCTACGAACTGAATTCAAAAATAAAAAATGACGTTAATTGCTAAGAATTGTATTTGAAAAATGTTTGTTTTAAATACTCTAATGTTTTTTTTTCTTAGTTATAAGGTTTAATAGTTAGTTTACAATGAAACTTGAAATAAAAAAATACATAAATACTTAAAAATATATATCGAAATACATAAAAATATGTGAAAGTACTTCACAAAAATACATAAATAATACGTTTATGTATTTTAAATACATAAAATAAGCAAAAACTATATAAAAACTTAAAAAATACATAAATATGTGAAAATATACCAAAATACATAAGAATATTTATAGAAAAATATCTTTATATATTTAAAAATCATAAAAAACATAAAAAACTTAAAAATACATAAATACTTAAAAAATATATAAACATATGTAAAAATACTTAAAAATACATAAAAATATGTTTATATATTCTATATAAAATTTGAGGAAATTTGTTATTAAGTCACATTATTTTTTGTAAAATTATCCATTTGGTCCGAACATGACAAAGAGGGAGACTAAAGTGAAGAAATTAATCGTTTTCAAAGGCTTTCTTTTTTTATTCAATTTTAATTTTTGGACTTAATCGTTAATTTTTTTAAAATAATATGACTTTTTTTAAATTCTTTATGAAAGTTTCTGTATTAAATCTTTTCTAATAAATAATTTTTTTTTGCCACTTGTCACATTTTCATTCAATTAACCAAATATCATTTTGTAGTTATTTTGAATTAATTTTTTTTAATTGTCATTTTATGAGTTTTTCTATTTTATTAAATTCCATATAATATTTTAATATAATAATTGCAATAAATTTAGTAATAAATGATATTAATTTCATTAATAAACTTACCTTATAATTTCAAAATTTTCAAAATTAAAGTTTATTAATTTTTTTTATTTATTTAAATTTAAAAGATAAAAAATATTTCTATTATAATAATTTATTATTTTTTTTATTTTCTCATAACTTTAAAATTCTTAAATATTTTGACATTTATATTTATTTTTTTTTAAATTAATCCATGTAATACATAGGTTGTATTGAATCAAAATAAATGGCAATCTAGAACTAAAACGACAATTCAGAAAAAAAAAAAAGAAAAAGAAAAAAAGAAAACAATACTTCTCCTGAATAGAAAATCATAAATTACAAACAAAGGGTTAAAATCAAACACACCATATATACATATAACATACTGTTTTAGTTTAATTGTACCATGCTTTTATTTATATACACATATATAAGAGATAATGACTTAAAAGGGTAATATATTATTCGGTTTGTACACATTTGATCATTGAGTTTTTTTTTTCGTCCACATTTACTCCTTCAACTTGTTAAACTGTACACATTCAGTCCTTATGACCGGCTACTCCAGGTTAGCCGATAAAAATGACTTAATAGGGTAATATATTTCTCACTTTGTACACATTTAGTCCTTAATATTTTTGTACACATTTAGTCTTTAATATTTTTTTGTTACAAAATAAATCATTTTTGTTTTTGTAGTCATTTAATATTTATGAATGATTTCTTTAAGTTTTTCTCACGACATCTTGGGACAATCATTAATAAAGTATTTGGGGCTGTTGATGCTTATGTCCATCGCGATCTCGACTATTTGGTTGCTTAGGTCATGTGTTCTGAACGTCATAACTTCTTCATACGATCTCGGGTTTTAACGATCTTTATATCCATGTGTTCGTATTCTAGTCTACTACAACTTTGGTTTAAATTACTCCTGTTAAAAAGTAATATATTTTTATTTACGATCTTTATATCCATACGTTTTTTATGAATACATGTATGGATGTTTTTTTTTATAAAATCATAAGTAAAAATATATTACATTTTAACAGGAGTAATTTTAACGAAAGTTATAGTAGACTCAAAAAACGAACATGTGGATATAAAGATCGTTAAACTATGATATCGTATGAATAACTTACGACGTTCAGAACACAAAACCTAAGCCAAACCACAAGATCTACGCAACCAAGCAATCGAGATCGCAATGGACACAAACATCAACAGCCCCAAACACCTCATCAATGATTGTCACACATAAGATGTCGTGAGAAAAACCTAAAGAAATCATTCATAAGTATTGAATGAGTACAAAAACAAAAATGACTTATTTTGAAACAAAAAATATTAAGGACTAAATGTGTACAAAAATATTAAGGACTAAATGTGTACAAAATGAAAAATATATTACCCTATTAAGTCATTTTTCCCGACTAACCTGGAGTAACCGGTCATAAGGACTGAATGTGTACAGTTCAACAAGTTGAAGGGGTAAATGTGGACGGAAAAAAAACTCAGTGACCAAATGTGTACAAATCAAAAAATATATTACCCTTTTAAGTCATTATCCCCATATATAAACAGACAACATGTATAAGAAAACGCACCACAAAAACAAAATCATGATCCTCCATGCCTCAGTAGAGAGTAAAGAGAAATACTTGATGCAAAATTGTCAACGGGGTCGTGAAGCATCGGGAAAGTGTCCCTGACTAAGATGCCACTGGTACATAGCGTCAATCTGACGCTCCATAGCTGTAAATCGGAGCATAAAGTCCGGCGGCAAAGGAATCGCAGCCGCGCCGCCGTCGTCCGGGGTGTCGTCTTGAGGCTGAACCTGGGGAAGTAGCAAACTCATTCTTTCAATGAGACATGTTACATTCGACAAAGAGAGATTAGAAGATGGACTTGGCGATGAACCAGCAGACAAAATATAAGGAGAGGTAGCGCTACTCTTAATTGTTGCTGCTGATGTAGTCATCTGCGATGGGGCTGTTGCTGATACGGAGGATGTAATTGATGGAGAAGCCCCATATGATACTGAAGAAGAATTCAGTATGGATGTTCCTGAAGAAGAAGAAGAAGATGATGATGCAAATAAGCCAGGAGGAAAAGGCGAATTAACCGCAGTAGCTTTAGTAGAACTGGAAGCTGAAGAAGCCCCAAAAGCAGCACTCGTAGAACCAAATGCACGAGACATCTCGATCGGAAACAATCCATCGAGGGAAGCGCCGAAACCAAAAATGGGTGAGGCGGCGGAAGACGGTGTAGAAGATGAAGGAGGTGCAAAAGCAGATCCAAACGGAGAAGTTGATGCCGGTGATGAAGGTGCTCCAAATAGAGGACTAGAGGATGTGGATTGACCAAACAGTGATGCAGGGTTTGAGGGTGAAAATGGAGATCGAGATGAAGATGATGTAGCAGAAAATGGTGATGAGTATGAAGACTTAGTGAAGGAGGAGAAGCCCGACATTGTTGATGCTGCTCTCTTATAGAATCCGGTCGAGTTTCGAATGTGAAAGTGGGAGGGACGACGAGGGTTTCTGGTGTCTGAGCGGAGGTTTTTGTTTTGGGTCGGTTTTTGGCTCCGAATTCTGAAATGGATGGGTTGTATTTGTATTTGTACTTATCATTTGTCTAGAATGTACTTGTAGTTATCCCAATATGTATCTATAAAATCTTTTATAAAATAAACTGATTTTTAAGTGTTTATAATATAAAAACATTATATTTTATAAGTTTTTTTGGTTTATTAGTTAAATTTTGATTTGTATTAAAAAATCATTTATTTGGTATAAAAGTATTATCTGCATTATTATGACCTTGTAAATTCCGATCAAATCCAAATATTTGATAAAATATAATTTTATATTTTTTGTTCAAATTCAATTTTTTATGATTAAACACAATATTCATTTATTCTCATAATAACAGATTTGTATAAGTTGATTGCTTTGACTAATTTGAGTTTTTGTGAACGATATTTGGTTTTTGAAAACACGAATTTTTATGGATGAATTTTACAGTTTGGTTTTCAACACATCACCGAAATCCAATGGCTTTCCAACCCTAAAAAACCGAAATCATATAATTTTTCAATCTAAAAAAATTTGAAATTAAATCTAGTAATCAAAATCAAATGATTTTTCAACCCAAAAAACTGAAACTAAATTATAAAATCTAAATACGAATGATTTTTCAACAACAAAAAAAAAAAACTTTATGATTTGACATCGATATATATATATATATATATATATATATATGGTGAGGTTCAATAGAGAACCATAATTAACCAAGGAACCAAGGAACCAATCGTGAGCGTCGGAAATCATAACGATCAACGGGCAAGGAAATAGATGTACACTTTTACATTGGACGCACACACCGGATTATACCAAAAAATCCACCCTTTACAAAAAAACGCACCACTTTTTTTCGTTTAAAATTTTTTTAGGCCATGTTTTTTATCAAAAAAAAAAAAAAACCGAATATACCGTTGTTCACGATTTTTCGTCATCTTTCCATAGAGATCCATGATGATATATAAAAAACGAACTTTTTTTTTTCGAAAAAAACCCACTTCATTTTCTTTGATTAAAAAAGTTAAGGTCTATTTTTTATAGAAAAAAATTAATAAATATATCAAAATTCATATTTTTTGTACTTTTTAAACATATATTCATATTCATGTTAAAAAAAAAACCGATATTTCAGTTCAGATTCATATTGTAAACCTGTTCAGATTCACATTGTGAACCTCCTCAGATTCACAGTGTGCATAATAATAACTCAGATTCACAGTGTGAATCTGAACTGATCGAAGCTTTTTCACATTGTGAATGTTAAAACTTGAAATATTTACAGTTTAGATTCACAGTGTGAATCTACACTGATCGAGATTTTTTTTTTTTTTTTTTTTTGTGAACATTCTCAGATTCACAGTGTGCATAATAGTAATTCAGATTCACAATGTGAATCTGAACTGTTCAAGATTTTTCATATTGTGAATGTTAAAAATTGAAATATTTACAGTTTAGATTCACAGTGTGAATCTACACTGTTTGAGGATTTTTTTTTTTTTTAATCGGTGTTGATGTTTATTAATAGAGTACAAAAAATTAATATTTTTGGTATAATTAGTTTTTTTTTGATAAAAATAAACTTAAATATTGAAAAAACTAAGAAAATTAAGTGAGTTTTTTCGAGAAAAAAAAGTTCATTTTTTATACATCATCATGGATCTCTATGGAAAGATGACGAAAAATCGTGAACAACGGTATATTCGGTTTTTTTTTTCGTTAAAAAACTTGGCCTAAAAAAAATTTTAAATGAAAAAAGGAAGTGAGTTTTGTTATAATCTGGTATATGTGCGTCCATTATAAAATTTTACAACCCTTCCTTTTGCCGTTGATCGCTTTAAATTCCGACGCTTTGGATTGGTTCCTTGGTTCCTTTATTAATAATGGTTCTCTATTGAACTTTTCTATATATATATATATATATATATATATATATATATATATATATAGATATATATATATATATATATATATATATTACCAAAAATTATTATTTATGATATCTAACTTTTATGATAAAAATATACTCTATAATAATAATAAAAAGGTAGATTTCAAATATACCTTTATTAAACTTCAAAATATCATATTTATCCAGTCCAATTTCTAAATATCATATTTATCTTTCTTAAGCTGTTAAAATATGAAATTTACCCAAAATAAAATTAAATGTTTTTTTTTAATATTTTATAATAATTTCTTAGATTCTAAAATCATTATAATTAAAAAAAAGAAAGTAAATGGACGATATTGACACTAACCTCTACATAGCATGAATTTTATTGTATATTGAAAAAACATCATAAATGGTCCCTGTGGTTTCCCAAATATCTGAAGTTTAGTCCATGTGGTTTAGAAACGTCATAGATGGTCCCTGTGCTTTCAAAACTTTTGACGATTGGTCCTTATTGCTAACTCCGTTAAGTTTTATCCGTTAACTGAAGGGCATTTTCGTCATTTCACACCACAGGGACCATTTATGATCTTTTCAGTTATTTTTTTAAAAAAAGAAAAAACTAAATATAATTATTTAATATATAATCTCTCTCTCTCTCTCTCTCTCTCTCTCTCTCTCTCTCCAAGCCACCTCCTTTCTCTCTTTCTTAGCTCATGTCCGACGAGAAAAAAATCGTCCAAACTGCCACTGGTGAAGAATCACTCTCAACCACGGTAAACCACCAAGAAACACCACTGCCAGCACCCATTTTCCCACCTTATACCTCCGACAATCAGCAGCCTAAGCCCCATTTCCCTGTTGCGACCCACTGCTGCTCTTCTTCCCTTCGCTTTATCGCTGCCAACAGCTAGAACAAGACCTACAAAGGGTCGTCGGAAAAGAGAGAATGCTCCTCTCGTTTTGCGACAGCCCAGCCATCCACCACACCTTCTGCAACTTCTTTTTCCTTATTTGACCTACAACTTAAACTACACATACATAAATACAATTAAACTTGAAAAACACCAAATTTACACCAAAATTTGAGTCCAAACACCTTCTGCAACTTCTTTTTCCTTCTTTTTCCTTATTTGACCTCCCATGGAGAGTCCAAACTCATACGTGGAGTCATTGGAGCACCAGAATCACAAGACCACCAACATATAAAGACAACTGAATGAACAGTGAGAGATAAACATCCACATACAAATCAATTTATGGTAGGATGAACACCCACACACTAACTCAAATTGATTTACGGAAACAAAAACAAACATGATTTTAGTTTTTTATTCGAATTTAGGATTCCGATTCTTAAGTTACCATTGAGAATAAAGATCACAAATGATTTCCATTGAGTTTATATTGAGGAAGAAGAACCAGAATGTGTTGGATGTGACCGCAAAACCGAGATGGGAGGAAGTGGAGTTATAAGTACCAGAATATGAAGATGTGTTCATCCAAGAATCAAATGAGTGCTTGTTCATAATGACGCGCTGACCGCAGAGCCATTAGCAGCTGACCGCAGCGTTTGCAGATGGGTGTTGGAGCTTGGCACCAACGCGTCCATGGCCATGGTTACTGACGCGCTGGCGGATCCGGTGGCAAGGTTCGAGGTCTGGTTTTCTAGCCATGGAACCAGGTCGTCGGCGTAGAACTCCATTTGGGATTTGCCGTAGGGGAGGAAGGTGGCTTGGTTGACTATTTCCTCAAGAGAGGGAAACAAAGGAGGGGGAAGCAGGCGTCAAAGAGAGAGAGAGAGAGAGAGAGAGAGAGAGAGAGAGAGAGAGAGAGAGAGACCCCTTTGTAAATAAGAGAAAAACTTCATAAATGGTCCCTGTGATCGTGAAAAGACGAAAATTCCCTTTAGTTAACGGACAAATTTAACGGAGTTAGCAATAAGGACCAATCATCAAAAGTTTTGAAAGCACAGAGACCATCTATGACGTTTTAAACCACATGGACTAAACTTCAGATTTTGGGAAACCACATGGACCATTTATGATGTTTTTTCTTGTATATTACAACCATGGTCTTTGGCTATGAAGATGTGTAATCTCGCTTAGCCCTCTTGCTGTCTTCTCTTTTGCTCCCTCGTCATCTTCGTTTTTTCCTCTCTCCATCTTCTACTGAAATGGTCGATAATTAGGTAATTATTGTCTTAACGTCTTGTGATTTTATGTTTGCGCTTTTAGCTAAATGTATTATGTGATTTCAAAATCAATCTCTCGACTTAAACATATGCGTGATGTACACAATTCTCACTAACATCTTCACGGTAATTAATATGACGATACCTAAATCGTAGCTAAAATACTTCACATAAAAACTTTGTTTTGTAACATAGGCTTTGAAGTCAACAATAGTGGAATTGATATAACATAGACCGTGAAATCATAAAAATTAACCTCATTATAATTAATTATGGAATTCGTAACATATGCTGTGAAATCACATGAACTTTCTTCCATGAATCTGCCCCTATAATCACTTATCACCCATATATATCCCATTTTTCGCAATTGAGATCAAGCTAATAAACACACAATGTTAATGAAGATGACTCACCATATAAACCTAAACATACTTGATTAAAAGGCCTAATGTTCTTCAATAATTGTAGAGCATGAAAAATATCATGGCACAAATCAAACGCCATGATTTCATGAGATACACCCTTTTTTCTTCCATTAATTGGTACCGATAGAATAGATCAAGACGCAGTTGTTGTTAGAACTGTACAAATAATAAACAATCACAAAGATAAAAAAACAACTCATGATTGGATCTTCTAGTTTGGAATCTAATGCATATGTTAGACATAGTTGTATTATCCATATTTATATTTAGTTAGCCCTTTTATGTATTTAGGCTTATTTTGTATACAACCCATTATACTTGTATTGAGCCCATATTGTATCTGTTATATATATTAGTATGGAAGCCATTGGGGGTTTTTTGACGGGAAAAAATACGATCCATAACATGGTATCATAGACTTCTTAACCTAGCCGATCTCACCTGTGGGTTTTCTTCATTGTCGCTGTTTTCTCCATCCTTCTTCTTCTCCTGCTGATCGTTCCTTCTCTCCTCTGCTGCTCTACTCTTCATCCCTCACAATGCCTGAAACAGGTTCAAGTAGTTCTAAACCTAATCCCACTGATAAAATATATGGCATTACCAACATCAAGTCATACATTCCGCTTCTTCTTGACTTGGATAGATTGAATTATGATTCTTGGAAAGAGCTTTTTAAAACCCATTGTATTGGTTATAATGTATTTGATCACCTTGAGGGAACTCCCAAAAGTGATGTCAATTCTAACGAATGGAAGACAATGGATAACATTGTGAAACAGTGGATATATGGTTCTCTTACTCAACAGGTTTTTGCAATCCATAATCACCATTGATGCTACTGTTGCTGAAGTATGGAAAGCAATTGAAGATCTCTTTCATGAAAATAAGGAAGCTAAAGCTCTTGAACTTGATGATGAACTTCGAACTCTCACTATCGGTGATTCTTCGGTAATGGAGTATTGTACCCGCATCAAATCTATTTCTGATCTCCTTGCCAACATTGGCGCCCCGGTACCCGAACGAAATCTTGTTATCTATGCTATAAACGGTCTATCTCCAAAGTTTGCTCATGTTGCCACCACAATCCGACACCAAAAACCGTTTCCAAGCTTCCTTGAAATGCGGTCTATACTCACTCTTGAAGAACGGTCAATGGCTAAAGATCAATCTCGCCTTACATCAGTTCAAGCCTCTCATCTTGATAATGCCTCCTCGCCAATGGTCCTAAATACCGAGCATCAATCTCGCTCACAAAATCCTCGTAACAACAATAATGGAGGTCGTGGTGGCAACCGGAACTACCGTGGTGGCGGTAGAGGAGGCCGCTCCGGCGGCAGGGGAGGTGGGCGTCAAGGCAGAACCGACAGAGGAGGTTTCTCTAATAACCAAAACCAATCGTCTCCTTTTGTTCCTTGGCCTGTGATGGTGATACCCCCTCAGCCACAACCACAACAACGTGGGTTGCTGCCCTCACCATCAGCTTACCCATTCAGCACTTGGCCCACTACAACGCCTAGCCCACGAAGCCCATTTCAGCAGCCTTGGTCCAATGCAGGAACAGCCCAACAACAGCCTTGGTCCAATGCAGGAACAACCCAACAACAAGCATTTTTTAGCATTGCTGGACTGCCCAACAACTTGTCATGGTTTCACTATCCACCCATTCAAGACCAACCAACCATGCTCCCTCAAGCTTTTAGCACTATGAGTCTTCAAGACCCGGGCAATGCGGATTGGTACATGGACACCGGGGCGACTGCTCATCTTCATGCCGACTCAGGTATACTCAACTCTCGTAGTAATATTTGCAATAATTCTAATTTATCGGTTTTAGTTGGTGATGGATCTCGCATTCCCGTTACTAAAACTGGTCATTCCATCCTTGGTTCTAGTCCTTTTCGCACATTACACCTCAAAAACGTCCTTATTACACCTCAAATTATTAAAAATCTCATTTCAGTTCGTCAATTCACTCGTGATAATAAATATTCTATTGAATTTGACGAATTTGGTTTTTCTAAGGATTTCATAACCAAACAACTCCTCCTTCGATGTGATAGCTCGGGTGATTTGTATCCGTTTACCAAGTCCAACCATCAAGCTCTTATCCCCGTCATCTCCTCTTTGTGGCATCAAAGACTTGGTCATCCCGGCCAACCTATTTTCAAGCATTTAATTTCTAGTAATTCAATTTCGTGTAATAAAAGGAGTCTCATTTACCTTGCCATGCTTGTCAACTTGGCAAACATACTCGTTTATCTTTTTCTTTGTCTAAAACTGATGCATTATTTCCATTTCAAGTTATACATTCTGATGTGTGGACATCTCCTCTACAAAGTCATAGTGGTATTAAATATTATGTGATTTTTCTTGATCAATTTACACACTTTGTTTGGGTATATCCTCTTAGAAATAAATCGGATGTGTTCTCTAAATTTCTTCACTTTCGTGCTTACATCAAAAACCAATTTCACACCGATATTCAAATTTTCCAATGTGATAATGGAAAAGAATATGACAACTCTAACTTTCGCCAACTTTGTGACACTCATGGTATTCTCATGCGTTTCTCGTGCCCTTACACCTCCCAACAAAATGGAAAATCTGAACGCATGCTTCGTACGCTTAATAACATGATGCGTACTCTCCTATTCCAAGCCCATCTTCCACCCACATATTGGGTGGAAGCTCTTCACATGGCCACCCACCTATTAAATATTTTGCCTTCCATCGCTCTTAAAAATGACACTCCTTTTCACAAATTGTTTCACAAACGCCCATCTTACACCCACCTGCGTGTGTTTGGATGTCTTTGCTACCCCCATCTCAATAATACCAACAAACTTCAACATCGATATGTACCTTGCATCTTCCTTGGTTTCCCTTCCAACCACAAAGGATTTCGTTGTCTTAATCTTCATACCAAACAAATCATTATATCTCGTCATGTAGTCTTTGATGAAACCGTTTTTCCATTTGGTTCAATGACTCCCAATATTGCCCTAGCTATGACTTCCTAGAGTTTGATGAATCTAGAAACCATTACAATCACCCGAACACACCCACCACTCCTCTTGGGACCACACATACCCACTTTGACGCTGATTATACTTCCGATCATGTGTCATCTGCTGTCGATCATCCTTCGGCAGTTGGCTCCTCCGACGTCACTGCTTCCACTAACAGTGACGTCTTCGTTCCCTCTCCCTCTGTTGCTTCACATCTTCCACCTCCTACCGCTACTAGAACTCACTCCATGGCCACCCGTGCATCGCACGATATACATAAACCTATTGATAGACTTAATATTCACACCAACACCATATCTTCTCTCTCTCTCTCTCTCATATTTCGCGTTCTTACGCTCAAGCTTTTAGAGATCCAAACTGGCTACAAGCGATGAAAGACGAATATAATGCACTTATTTCTAACGGGACTTGGGTACTTGTACCTCGGCCTCCTAATGCTAACATTGTTAATTGTATTTGGCTGTTCAAAAAGAAACTCAATGCAGATGGTTCATTAGCTAGATACAAGGCGAGACTGGTTGCTAATGGTCGCAGTCAACGACCAGGTATAGACTGCGAGGAGACTTTTAGCCCGGTTGTTAAACCGGCAACTATTCAGACTGTTCTGAGTTTGGCTATTTCGCACCACTGGCCGGTTCACCAGTTAGATGTGAAGAATGCATTTCTTCATGGACACCTTCAGGAGACGCTCTACATGCATCATCCTCTCAGTTTTAGAGACTCTTCGGCACCTGATCACGTTTGTCATCTTAGCCGCTCCTTATATGGTCTCAAACAGGCTCCACGTGCTTGGTATCATCGTTTGCTCAGTTTATCACTCGCTCCAGATTCTCAAACAGCAAATATGACTCGTCTCTCTTCATCTACAGACATGATGATCAACTTGCATATCTTCTTCTTTATGTTGATGATATTATACTGACCGCCTCCTCCACGGATCTTCTTCAGCGGATCATTCAAATGCTTCGGTCGGAATTCTCCATGACAAATTTGGGAGCACTAAATTACTTTCTTGGTATTACAATCACTAGAGATAAACACAACATGTTTTTGCCCCAACAAAAATATGCAACCGAGATTCTTGATCGTGCAAAAATGTCCAACTGCAAACCTGCTCAGACTCCTGCTGATACATCAGCCAAATTTGATGGTACAGGCCCTCCCGTCTCTGATCTGACTCTTTATCGAAGCCTTGCGGGTGCGTTACAGTACTTAACTTTCCCCGTCCAGACATCTCTTATGCTGTTCAGCAGGTCTGCCTCTACATGCATGATCCCAGAGAGCCTCATTTTGCTGCCCTCAAGAGTATCCTTCGATACATTCGAGGCACTCTTCATCATGGTTTACAGCTCTATGCTTCCCCGTCTCGCGGATTGATTGCATATTCTGATGCTGATTGGGCCGGTTGTCCATCCACCAGACGATCCACCTCGGGCTATTGTGTGTTTCTTGGTGATAATCTTCTCTCCTGGTCTTCCAAGAGACATGGTACGATCTCTCGGTCCAGTGCTGAAGCCAAGTACCGTGGCGTCGCAAACACCGTTGCAGAGACCAGCTGGTTTCGCAATCTTTTACAGGAACTTCAGTACCCGCCGCTCTCTGCTACTCTGGTATATTGTGACAATGTAAGTGCTGTTTACCTATCCTCCAACCCAGTTCAACATCAGCGCACGAAACATATTGCGATTGACATTCACTTTGTTCGAGACAAAGTTGCTATGGGTCAGATTCGTGTTCTTCATGTTCCTTCGTCCTCTCAGTATGCTGGCATTTTCACCAAAGGTCTTCCGTCTTCTCTATTTCTTGACTTCAGATCCAGTCTGAACGTCCGCCCCCGACCTCCCGTTCCGACTGAGGGGGGCTGTTAGACATATTTGTATTATCCATATTTATATTTAGTTATCCCTTTTATGTATTTAGGCTTATTTTGTTTACAACCCATTATACTTGTATTGAGCCCATATTATATATGTTATATATATTAGTATGGAAACCATTGGGGGTTTTTTTGACGGGAAAAATATGATCCATAACAGCATATATGTACTGATATATATATGATAAGATTTTCAAGAAGTAGAAGGTTATAATCGTTATTCCAGGTAACCCGCATGAACAACATTGGATCTCTAGTTTGTAAAGATGTACAAGTGTGTAATTCATCACCCAATACAAAACTACCAATATTCAAGACAAAATCTCAATGTACCTTATATGTCTGATCAATAGGAGGCATATTTCAGTTCTTCTAAACGGAAAGTCAGCCTCTTTTATCTGAACACCCACATGAGCTTTCCCAATGTTGACAAAATTGTACTTATGATGAAGATGCTGGCTTACGGCCAAGTACGACAACCCAAGAATTCAAGCAAACAGTGACACCTGATGCCTAAGCTGTCAGCCCCGTGAATGCATACGTATGGAAGATCTACCCCAATCACTATTTTTATGAAACTAAACAAGAATTTAAGCAACATGCATGCAAATATGTACTATGTAGAAAGGTTTTTCGGTAACTGTCATCTTTTGAAAGACTCCATGGAAGTTGGCATGGATGAAGTGTATGTTGGGTGAAAGAAGACAAGATTTTGCAGAATACATGAATGGGAGCTTGGATGACATGAATGCGATTTACAACAAAACCAAAAGAATTAGGATGATATCTGTATTTTCAAAAGAAATAAGCAGGTTTTTGTAAATTTGGATATCTATGATATTTTAGAAGATTATAAATGGTATATATGATATTTTAACTTTATAAGAAGGGTATAATAGTCAATTGATAAAAATAAGAATTTAAAATGATTATAAAATGTTTAAAAAAGAGATTTGGGTAAATTTGATATTTCTAAAGCTTAAAAAGGATAAATACCATATTTAGAAATTAGGTTGGGCAAAATATGATATTTTAATGTTTAATAAGGGTATATATGAAATTCTCCCATAATAAAAATAGTGGTCTTAGGATGTAAAATTTTGAAAACATTTAGTGATTTTTTCTAAAAAAAAGAGTAAAACCGAAATTTATAGGTCATAGTGGTCGATGAATTATTTTAACAAAAAGTAAAATTAGATGTTTAAATAAAAAAAAATAATACTTTCTATAAAATTAGCGGTAGTATGTACTCATAAAGGTTATAAGTTAAGCCCATTTCTAAGTACAAAATATGGATGAATTATAAAATCGGAAAATCGGATTGGAACCGGAATCGGTATAACCGGAAAATGCTTAAACGGTCTGAATATTGGGTCTACAAAATAGTTTTATCAGGGTTCCGGGTATTCTTGGTACGGGTCCAACAGGTTCGGGTATTCCGGGTTTTATAATTGGATTTGTAAAAAAATCGGAACCGGGTTTAACTGACCGAAACCGGTTTAGTGGGCCAGTGAACTAGAAATTGTAGGGTTATGAAAAAATACGCTTATTGATTCGGTTCTCAAAAATTTCTTATTCTATTACATAATTTCTTTTTCTTTTTTTTATTTTCTCCTTTATTTGTTGAGTTTTTAGTTGGTTTTAAGTTTTCATATCTGCTTTGTTATGATTTTTTTTTATTTAAATTGACAATAGTTAGAGACTCCAGAAATACCTTATTTACATGTGTATTGAATCACTTACAACCCTAAAAAAAATAAGATATCAGTTTTGTTTTGTTTTTGTTACAACATTGTTGTTGAATTTTTACTTTAAACTGTCATATCTATTTCGTTATAAGTCTATTCGGGCTGATTTCAAAAAAATAAATTATAATTCACTGTTTGGTAATAGTTAGTCTTTTGAAACACCCTATTTACATGCATATTGAGTCATTTACAACTCTCAAAAAAATGATATATATCAATTTTTTATGACATTCTTTTGATAGATTGTTCATTTGCACGAGATGTGGTAACCATCTTGAGTGAAGATTTTGTAACTTGTCGAACAATGATCTCCATTCTTGTTATTAACAAGTCTTATTCTAGTTATTTCCGGGTCTAATACACGAATCTGATTCCAGTTATCTATTTTTAGTTCCAACCGGTTCCATACTCACTATACCCGGTTTGATACCCGGAACCGGTTACTGTATATCGGTCCGATTCTCGGTTCTTATAATCTATCAATCCCGGGTTCCAGGTCCGAGTAAATCGATCTAGTTTTAGACCTACTTTCATCCCTAGTACAAAATATCAGTTTGCAATGTCGATTGTAGCTTGCTTTGCTATTTTCAGCTAATTATATTTTCTTTTAATTTTAATTTAATTTTTACTTTTGTATTTTCCTTTGCTATTTTTAGCCCTTTGTTTTTTTTTATTTTCATTTTTTACCTTTGTTATTTCCAGCCCTTTAACTTTTATTTTTTTATTTTTTTACCATTGTACTTTATTTTGCTATTTCCAACCTTTTTTGTTTCATTTTTATCCTAAAAAACAATATTTTTTTATAAATACACGTTGTATAATTACAAATATACTACTATCAATACAATTATTAAAATTCAATTTATAAAACAAAATAGGTCACCACAACACACGATGCACAAATAAACTAGTTAGATTTAAAACCCATCACCACAATTTCGGTTTGAGAAACTATCTCTCTTGTTGGGCTTAATTTTTAAATATTAGGTATTTGACTTAAGTTAGAGGTTGGATGCGGGCCAATTAAGCTATTTAGGACGAGACCTATCCTGTGCCTAGAGCTGCACATTAACGGTCACGGACCGATCTCAGGTCGGTCCTGAGCGGTCTTGGGCCGGTCTTTTTTTGGGCTGGTCTCTTTCGGTCCGGTCTCGCAGTCTTTCCGTGCAGCTCTTGCCCTCTACCCATACATAATGGTTAAAACTTAAAAAGGGTATGGTTATGCAAGGCCGGATGGATTTCTCCATAATTTTTGATGAAATTATGTATGAATTCTTACATAATTTGAATTTTGAAAGATGACCAGGGGAAATACTGTTGGACTCTAATTTCTAATAATCATCTATAAACAATAACAATTACAAATCAATAAAAATAAAACTAAAATGAACAAGTTAGTTAAGATAACTTTATTATTGCAATATAACAAACAATTTTAAATGGTCATCCATGTGCAATGATACTCATAACTCATGCAGCTTTCTTGATACACATTGCCATTCTTTTATTAAGGAAAATCCCATCCTTCATGTCTTACAGTAAACACCATGATCGTCAACAAGCAAACACATACGGAAAACGATGATCAATCTTCTACTTTTTAAGTCCTAGCTCGATTTTCTGAACAGTAGGAACGTCTGTTTTGAACGACATAGCAAGCACATTATCATCAATACCAGTAGTGAAAACAGACTTTGGCACCGAAAGCAGGCCACCATTCGCACTTCCAAATGCAGAAATCGCTATGGCCGATTGGTTGTGGTTCCTGTTGTACTGAAAATGAACAAGTCCCTTTGGAAACACAAACATGTCGCCTGTTTGAAGAGTTTGATTATACAAAACGTTCTTGGTGTCAACAAATCCAACTTCAAGGGTACCCATCATCACCAACAACAGTTCAGCTGAACGAGGGTGAGTGTGAGGTGGGTTCACGGCAGCTGCTGGGAACTGGAGCACCGCATAGGATACACTTTGGCCATTTAGAGCCGGGAATTCGTTCATCGTAGCTTTAAGGACTGTGAAATTTTTAGGGTTTGGGTTGTAATACGCACTGAGTCCACTGAAGGTGAAGAAACTGGCATCAACAGAGCTCGTATTTGGGGTGACGAAGTCGGTTAAGATATCAGGGTCATTAGCTTGTGTTGTTCTTGAAATGGCTAGAATCAAGGTTAGTCCTAATAAGAGAATAATAGGCATTCTAGATGAGGTAGCCATGGTTGAAACTGAGATAGCAAACAAACTGTTTATGTTCTATGGCTATGCCGCTTTTAGTGTTCGTGTTTGAGTCTGTATATAGGTGTTACGTACGACTACAATGACGATGATATTTATGTTTAAGTTGTATCACGTCCTTAATTAATTGCCAGAGAACAAGAAAAAGCTTATATACGACTACATTGTAGGATTTAGGAATTATTATTGTTCATGTCATTTGCAACTTTAATATAGATATAGACCAAAGATTGTAGCTGACAGCATATCGTCTGACATTTCGATAATTCGAATGAATGGCATGCAAACAACCAGACTAATGAAAAGTGTTTAGCCTGTAGCCTCGTTTTAATCAACTAGCTGTAGAATTGTGTGAGGTAACCAAAGCTTATTTGTTTCGTAAAATATCCTTTAGCTCAACAAGAAATCATGTATTAATTTCTTGACTGATGTTACATGAAATGTTTGGTAAAATATCACAAGCATCTATATAAGGCATATTCTTTGATTACCTTATATTAACTGACTTTTATCTGTATATATACATTGACATCTCTGCAACTGAAGAACAAGACATTGATTGTTTTCCAACTTCAAAGATGGCATCACAGATTCAAATTTTCTTGCTATTTTTAGTTTCATGCACCACTCTGCAGATATCAATGGCTGGAGATCCAGACATTCTGACTGACTTCATTACACCACCAAACGTAGGACTCCCACTGGACGGAAACTTCTTTACATTCACTGGGATGAGAGCACTAGTGGGTGCACCATTTCCAACAGCTTTTAAGGTTCTGAAAGCAACCATGGCTGAATTTCCAGCTCTTAATGGTCAAAGCGTTTCTTATGCCGTACTCCAGTTCCCTAATGGCACAGTCAACCCACCACACACCCATCCACGAGCTTCAGAGCTGTTGTTTGTTCTCATGGGTTCTTTAGAAGTTGGGTTTGTCGACACTACTAATAAGCTGTTTACTCAGACTCTACAACAAGGTGACATCTTTGTGTTCCCGAAGGGACTTGTCCACTTCCAGTTTAACAGTGATTCTAAGAATCCAGCTTTAGCACTCTCTGCATTTGGTAGTGCAAGCGCAGGGACTGTATCTGTTCCAAATTCAGTTTTCAACTCGACCATCGATGATCAGATATTGGCCATGTCATTCAAGACCGACGTTGCTACCATTCAAAAGATAAAATCTGGGTTTTCAGGCTAATTAATTAATAAGTACTTGCCGGTTTGTGGTGTTTCTTGTTTAGGCCAATAACTATGTTCTTAAATCGTGAATAAAGTTTGAAATTTGATTTAAGACACAATTTTTTGTTCTTATGTTGTGATGTTAGGATTGATAATCACAAAATAAGGATCACAGGAGACAAAAAGGATATTAGCAAACTTCATGTTCGGAGAGACATGACTATGCATCTCATATGAATAACAACGTTGCACAATCTCTAGGTCCCAAAGCTATGACACTTTATTTTTTGTTAGAAAAAAGGGATCAGTTTGAATGATTCTTGAGGTACATTGGACAAAAAGGGGAAATGGTGAATAGAGAAGTCGGACAATAGAGGATTATTTTTAGACAAAATTGCAAAAATGGTCATGTGGTATGCAAATTTTTGAGGTTTTAGTCCAAACCCCGAGTTTTTTGGATATGGCGATCGTGTGTGAAACTGGAACCTTGGAACAATTCATTCTGGAGGACGTGAGTTATTGATCAGTGATTTCCCATTAACCCAAATCTGGAGAACCCTAAAACCTAATAAACCAACAAGGTCTTCTTCAATTTCGTCGCCATCGTCTTCATCTTCTTCATCAGGTATGTTTCTCAAATACACATTTTTCTTAATGATGTTGAAATTGTAAAATTGTGTGATGTGGGTTTGGTGTTACTTGGTCAAATACACAGGAACACGTCGACAATCATCTTGGGCCTTTGATTTATCTAAGTGCCTTTGAGTTATCAGGTGCAGACGTAAATAGATGATGATTAAACACAACTGATTGATCAAGATGAAATTAGGAGACAACCAATTTAGGATCCGATTGGATGCACAGGAGTTGGAGAAGATTACAAAGAAGGATGACATGGTTGATGAACCAGTAGTTTAATTTGTATTTTATTTTGGAGATTTGGTTTGTGATCGGGTGAATCGATGACAATATTTAGTCTAGATTTGTTTTGCAAATGACAGTGTGTGTTTATGTGTAGGTCAAAGTTGTGATTGGAGAGAGAGAGAGAGAGAGAGAGAGAGAGAGAGAGAGAGAGAGAGAGAGAGAGAGACCTCTTTTATTTTTTAATTATTAAAATAAATAAATAGGTATTATTTTTTTTTAAAAGGGTGATATATTTTTTTCAGGTGCAAAAATGGTTCCTTAGAAGTGAAAAGACAAATATACCCTCGTGTGGGAGGCACATGAGAGGGTTAACAACAACAACTTAACATAAGTTAAATCTAGGGACCATTTCCACATACAAACCACTCCAAAATGACCATGAATCCAAAAAACTCGGGGTTTGGACTAAAACCCCAAAAATTTACATACCATAGGGGCCATTTTTGCAATTTTGTCTTCTTTTTATAAAAGAGAGACAATTACAAAGGGGAAAATAAATACTTGGCTGCTGTTTTTATAGCTTCTATTCTGCTTCAAAATGACTAAAACAATTAGCATATAAAGGCTAAAAGACAATCATTACAAATCCAAAGCGATACCCTTAAATCTAGAAGAGGCATGTGATGTTTTCCCATAAAAATACTAGGTATGGTATTTAGTTTAGCTAAATGATTGAATAAAATTGTAATTTACATGTCCTAAATGGTAATTTACATGTCCTAACGCTACTAGAAACATGGGTTTTAGAGACGGACGAATCCGTCGCTATTCCGTCGCTAAAGAATGTTTGCGATGGATCAACTACAAAGTTACTCCATAGCCAATTAATGTGTGGCTAATGACTTAACGAGGGTTTTAGCGACGGATCAGATTTTTCTCGCGACGACCTTGGCGACAGAATATCCATCGCAAATTGGTCACTTGATAGTTGATACAGTTATTTAGGACATTAGCGACAAAACTTAACACAATATGTCTGTCGCTAATCTCTTGCAAAACTCTATCTTATTTTTTATTTCCGTCGTTAATCCCTCGCAAATTTAAGATGTAATTTTTTTTCTTTCCGTAGTTAATCCCTCACAAATATATAATATCAAATCTTTTTTTTTCTTTTAGTGAATGTAAAACAAAATTACCAAAAACATCAAATAATTATACAATACCAAACCAAACATTAACATTTAAATACCAAACATATCAGATAATTATACAATCCAAACACTAACATTAAAATACCAAAAACTTCCATCAAAGTTTAACATTGATTAATATTTGTTTTCAAAGTATAATCTACCATAATTCTTAATTTAATCTCATATTTTGCATTTCCGCATAGATCTTTTCCATTGCTTGATATCTTCCATCCGAAAGAAGGATCGGAATGAAATTGGATTCCGATTCCTGTTTAGTCCCATGGAATTAGGCGAACCAAATGCCACTTACTTTTTCCTTTAATGGAAGGAGACTTGGTTGCTTGATGTCTTCCTGCTTTTAGTTATATTAGGGTCTTTGTTGGAAGCAAAATTTTTATGTTGAAACCAAATGCAGGACGGTCCAATGGAACTGAATTCCGATTCCGACCAAAAAGTAAATGATAATACCGTGTTTGTAGATTGGTCTTCATAAATTGTTTCTCTTATGGGATTTGATGCTTTGAACATTTGTGTTGAATATTACGGACCATCTACGACACCAAAATTAAAAGAATATTTAACATTTATATAAAAAGGATGCAATATTTTTAATTAGAAAGGAAATTACATAACTAACCTTCATTTTCTCTAAAAGTTGATTGCTTTTCTGATTGGTCAGGCCATGTGCCCTTTTTTGATTGCAAACTCTGAAAGTTGATTGCTCACAAAAAGGGAAAAAAAGTATGCACATATTATTTGAAGTTTATATCCATGAAAGATTATTTTATAAAACTAAAAAAAGTACCTGACATTAATCATTTCGAGGATTTGGTTTAGTTTTTTCTATCTAAAACATTAATGTAAATAGAGTCATTGACTAGTCAACTTTTACCATTTTTTTACAGAATTGGAGTTCTCTTTTAATTCAAAAAATGGGAAAGAACTTACTGAATCTTGGCAGTAGTCACTGGATCAACAAAAGCCTAAACTCTGAACTTGAAATTGAAATTGTAGCAGTTGTGGGGTTGGAGTTATTGTGGTTATCTTCTTCTTCTTCTTCTTCTTCTTCTTCTTCTTCTTCTTCTTCTTCATTTTGTTTGTATGTAAATGAGTGAGATTGATTGTACTGAGGTGACTCAGGTTGAGGAAAATCTTCCTGTATGAAAATGTACTTTTAGTAACTAGATCCCTTATGTGATCATTAGCTAAATGCAAGAAATAGCAATGTATTTGTTGGGTTTTGAGCATTCTAACACTCCTATGGTGTAGATGCAACCCTATGTGCTTTGGATCTATGTTTTCTCTATTATACATGCATACATTTAAAATTCCAAAGCATCATCCTAACTAGCATACAATGGAGTATCTATACCACAAAAGTCTAGTTAGATGACATACCTTTTGATGGAGCTTGAAGTCTTGAACCTTTAAGAGCTTAGTTCCCCAAGTGTTGCACCTCAAATGGAATTACACAACACCACCAACAATTGGAATAACTTGAGAAGAGGTTACTTGGTTCACTCTATGAAATCGACTTTGCACTCTTTGTGTCTCCACTAGTGCCATTTCATGAACCATGGGGTCCTTTATATAGTGTGGCTCATTTAGGGTTACACCATGTAAACCCTAATGTGCATGACTTTCCATTTCCTTCATGATCCATGGGTTTTAACCTCCATGGAGTATCCATGGGTTACCACATGGGTTAAGCCCAACATGAAGGACTATGGATCACAAGCCAACATATATAAGAATTAATGATTTACATAATCAATCCCCATATATTTAATTAGTCTCTTTTGATCACAAAATTAATTCTTGATCAATACCAATTAAATAATATGATTTCATATTTAATATATTAGAACTTATAATATATTAATATAAATCATAAATAACCTTTTCTCATTTGTCTATCCAATTGTTCTGATGCCATGCAACCCAAATGGACCATGCTACTCTCGGGTCGAGTGCATACCAAAAATAGTTATGGGCTTAGACATCTAATCCAACAGTCTCCCACTTGGATAAGTCTAAAACTATTTTTCAAGTATGACTCCAAGATCCCGACTAGCAATCGTAGCTCTTAAAGCCGCTGTCAAACTCTGACCTAGTCAAATGACGTGTCCATTAGATAAGGGATTATATATTCCTCCATTCTAGATATCATATGGACTGAGACATGGATTATAATCATTCTCTCTGTCCATCTGTTGTTTTTCGATTTCCGATTTATGACGACTGACTAATTCAACAAATCAAATCAGTCCAGGCTTGACCAAACAATTATGTAACATCCGGATTTTCCAGATACATTAAGTATTCATTTATTTTTAGAGATTTTGGGAGAGACTCGGCGAGTTGACGCTTAGACTCGCCGAGTAGAGTCGCGAATTTCCATCCGGGTTAATGACCGGACTCGGCGAGTCCATACGTGGACTCGGCGAGTCCACGCTGTTTAATGAAACCCTAATTTCTTGGGTTTGGGACCTATTTAAAGGCCCTCATGGCCTTCAATGGCGGCTACCAGTTGATAGAGAGAAACCCCAGAGTGTATGAACATTTTGAGAGAGAAAGGGAGCCATTTTTGATCCTTGAGTGAGTGATTTTGCAAGAAGAAGGTGACCAAGGCAAGAGGAAACTGAAGAGGGTGCTAATATGTGGATTTCAGAGCTTAGGGACTTCATCTTGAGGTAAACATTCAATCCCCTTTTCAGTTTTGGTGTAAGCTTTGAGAGTTGGGGTTTCTAGCCCCTTTTTGAGTATGATTTGTGAAGCAATTGGTCCCTTCTTGTGTTGGGGCTTCGAATCTCGATCCAAAGAGGTCCAGAGACCTTAACTTCTTGATCTTTATGGGTGTCATGGAGAGTTATGAGCTTAAGGTGGCATATTGAGGCCATTTCTTCAAATAAAGCCATTGGGTTCTTGCATGGACATCAAGATCCAAACTTTACGTGTTTAT